ATAAGTATAAGTATGCAATCCTTTAAATTTACACGAACTATCAAATACAGCAAAAAATCAATCAGAAATCTCCCTGCAAGCGGTTCCTTTGATGTAACGTCTAGTGGATATTTCTGGCACGTTCTTATTATTATAGTGTCGAGATGCAGCTAGGCTAGGCAGGTCCTACTTGAGATGCTAGGACGGGGCGGGCGTCACACATCAAAGAGACCGCCTGCCACACCGCTACACCGCCAAATACCCTCCTGGTGTGGGACAGCGGACAGAACCAATATGGGAAGCAATGGGTGTAGATGTTAGAACGAATCATGAATTGGATAATATTATTAGTTTCGAGAAAGGGTCTTCTAATCCTCAAGTATGTAACAACTATTTAGCCAAGTACTGGTAGAGTAAATTTTAACCAATGGTTCTGACTAAATTACAGCAGCTCTGGGCCAGTAAAGCTACACAGGTTGTCTTACTCTTTTCTACTCTACCGTTGATTATATATTTAGCTCAACATACCCACTCATTGTGCATCACATTATTGAACTTTGAAGGGATGTGTACAGCAAGGATTGTGAACTCGGTAAAGGTGGATTGCTTCCAAAACTTTATTATAGCCTATGTTGAGGTTTTATTTTTAAATTTCAAAAAGTTACCTAGTACATACTCGTGTATAGCGAAGGTATGCAAATGTTGTCAAATTCATGCTTGCCCGATTTTGGTTCGAAGTTCAGTTACAGCTGTTGTAGTTATAGCCCCGATGTGGTCCATCTGTGGATAAGAGAAAGTCTCTGCAATGTATCTCTTTCTCTTATTGTCAACACACTTTGTTTTAGAATGTTAATTGAATGCTTCCATTATGTAAATAGTTGTTGCCAAGGTAGACGCAATGAAACTGCCTTTTGAATCGGTCATATATTATTACAGTTATAGTCTGGTGATGTTTGTTTTATAAATTAAATAATACACCACCATGTGAGCAAGAAATGTTGATTATAATTTTAGACTATACGACAAACGATTTCGAGAGGAATTTCGTTGTTTTCTTGAGCTTGGAGTCCTTGGACCTTGTAATTTTAATTGTCGTAAGCATTGAGTGGATGCGGTTCTCCAATACATTGAAAGATCTAATTGTTGTGTGAGAATACTGTCCTATTTATTTTTTGAGATAAGTGGAGTTAAAAAGAAGTCTGCAGAACGATTCAAATAGAAATAGATTTCAACACGTGGATCTGTTGTTGACAACATACAAACACCAAACACCTTTAGAGAACAAACACAACAACTAAACACAACATAGTCCACAGCACAGCTGACGACAGCGATCAATTCAAACAAACCGCTGCTGTATAGTTACAAACACTGTACAAGTAAACCGTACCACCCACCCGGGGACAAAGAGAACAAACAGAAACTTCAGCATACTACAATAAATATAACCACCATATTGCTGGTGACTATCGATAATCTGACACTCGATAGTCGGATACATTCGATAATCCGATCAACGAGTTATAGGTGGAAACCGGAAAAATACATATAGCTTTAGAATTCAGGGTGTCCACAAAAAATTTGTCATTAATTTCCATGACTTTCCATGACTATCCATGACCATTTACCATTGATTTCCATGACTATCCATGACCATTTACCATTGATTTCCATGACTCACGAACTTTACACGCAAATTATAATATAACATACACACACAAATAATACTGCCTGGACATGTTATTTTGCAGAAAATACTGAAATATTAATAACTGATAACAATGGAGTACAATAGGTACAACAATGAACTAAAACAAACCGAAAACTCATAAAATAATACAACTGTAATAAATTGAATTGTCGAACATTTGTGAAAAATCCTGAAAAATGCTACAACAGTCCGGGTTACGGCTGACTAGAACACAGAATGGTCCCCTAAAATCCATCCATAATTGGAAATTTCCATGACTTTCCATGACTTCTTGCCTATTTCCCTGACTTTCAATGATCACAATTTTTTTCCATGACTTTCCATGACTATCCCTGACTTTCCAGAATGTGGACACCCTGAGAATTTCATTTTATTTCTTACATGAGTCGCCTTTTCTCTGATAGTAGTCGGTTCTTATAGTGAAAATCTTTACAAGTAGGTATAATCATAGACTAAGCATTATGCTCAATCTATGGTAAAATTGAATTTAGAATATATTTTAAACTTTCGGTATGAAGTCAAGACCGTGAATTTGACTCTGGAACTTCAGTATCTGATAATCAAAGTCTTTTTAGGTCCACGAGATGCAGATGTGTGCGAGAGTTTCTTAAATGGCTTTTTGTATTCAATGCTTTTGGACAATAATGTATTAAATGATCAATTTGAAGGTCAAATAATCGTGGCTGTACAAGAGGAGTCCAAACTTGTCATTAAGGATTTTTTATTCAAGATTGTTCTATTTCTATGAATATTATTTAACAATAATAATAATGATCATTTTATACATTATTGTCCAAAAGCATTGAATACAAAAAGCCATTTAAGAGTCTTCCGTAGTGGAAGCCATGTTGGATTTCTTCCCCATAAGAACAATGTTAACTTTGGGTCCAAATATCTCATCAGCAAATTGTCATATAATTGTGGATAAGGAGTTAAATTTAAGGAATTGCGGTCCTCTAGAGATTGACGTTTTTTATTTCACAATTTTTAATTTTTATAATGAATAATTGATTATTAATTAGCTTAAAATTAAGCTAATTATTGAAAGGAAATGAAAATGGATTTTCGAAATTCAAAAACCTCAGTCACGAGTCTATTATGTTAAAAATACAAATTATAAATTTCAAAGCTATATCTTAACAAATAATGCCGTTACGTGTCCACAAATGATGCAATTCTAACATTGTTCTTATGGGAAAGAAATCCAACATGGCTTCCACTACGGAAGACTCTTAAATGGCTTTTTGTATTCAATGCTTTTGGACAATAATGTATAAAATGATCATTTTGAAGGTCAAATAATCGTGGCTGTACAAGAGGAGTCCAAACTTGTCATTAAGAATTTTTTATTCAAGATTGTTCTATTTCTATGAATATTATTTAAAAATAATAAAAGAAATTTCAATAGGTGTCCATTATTTTCGAAAATCGACTTATTTTGTGAAATAAGTCTTATCATCAAGGGATTTTTTGTAGATGTCATGAACACTAACTGGTATTCTTTGCTTCTTAGTTTTACATGAATAGTAATTTTGAATAAGCCTTGTAGAAAGTTCTACTACTGAAGTTCCGTGGTTTCTTTTATCCTGTATTACTATACTAGTTTACAGACATCAATGGTGCTAGTTTTACATACTTTCCACAGTAGTTTGTCATATTCAAACCTTGTGTGTACCTTAGTAGGCTATCTGTTATGTTTGAAGTTGGTTTTTTTCACTTGGTTTGACATCAGTTATTACCTGGTATTACTAACAGACTGGTTGTAGTAAAATTGTTTGTAACACTTTCTTGTAGTGGTAGTAAGCTTCTACAACCAAAGTACTAAGTCCAATGTTTGCCATGAGGACATACTCACGTAGGCCTACTGTTATTAGCGAAGATTGAGGCAATTGTTTCGGGTTCCATTAATAAAGTAAATTGTATGTAATTAATAATTACATAGGCTAATTAATTGTTCGTATATGCATTATACCTAATTGTATAAGGTTCCATTTAACTTGGTTGTGTGTATGAACATAATTATGTTTCCAACTAATAGCCTTTATTTAGATAGTTTCAATAGTTGAAAAAATTATATTACTACTGTATTGTATTATTAATTTTTACGATATTGAGCAGAGACATGTAATAATGATCCAGTTGAAGGAAAAGTGGTGTGAGTAATTTGCTTTTTATTTTATGATTTTAGAACAAATATGGCTTGTTTATTCCTTCAGAGCTATATTGTTAAGTGAAGCAAAACTTATAATTTTGTTAATTCGATAATATTGATTATTGTGATCCATGCATTGAAAATGTCGCACTTAGCAAATCGGATCTTTCATTTTCAAATCGAACGAACCCTGAGTGATCTCATAGTATACAGGGTGTCCCGGAACTCTCTACCAATATTTTAGGGCATTGTTCCTGGGTAAGAAACATATATAAATATCATATTTAAATTGTCCGGAAGTCCTTAGTTACTCAGATAGCCGCCATTTTGTTTTTTTCACTTATTAATTTTTTTCTGAAGATTGGTTAAACATACGAAGTTGAAACTTTGCACAAACATTTATGACAACTAGACAAAGCTACAAAAAAATTATGACGATTTTTCAAATTCATAAAACAAAATGGCGGCTGTTTAAAATTTTGTTTCTTAAATTACTCGAAAACCGTTGATGTTACAAAAATTTTACAAGAATAACTTTTTTAAGGCAATTTTATTACAAATTGATCGACACCTTAATCTTTAAGATCGGACGAGTATTAACTGAGATATGGCAGTTTTAGTGATACGTGACCGCCGGATATTAGTTGCAGCACATGCTGAAAGCGGTCACGTATCACTAAAACTGCCATATCTCAGTTAATACTCGTCCGATCATAAAGATTAAGGTGTCGATCGATTTGTAATAAAATTACCTTAAAAAAGTTGTTCTTGTAAAATTTTTGTAAAATCAACGGTTTTCGAGTAATTTAAGAAACAAAATTTTAAACAGCCGCCATTTTGTTTTATGAATTTGAAAAATCGTCATAATTTTTTTGTAGCTTTGTCTAGTTGTCATAAATGTTTGTGCAAAGTTTCAACTTCGTATGTTTAACCAATCTTCAGAAAAAAATTATAAGTGAAAAAAACAAAATGGCGGCTATCTGAGTAAATAAGGACTTCCGGACAATTTAAATATGATATTTAGATATGTTTATTACCCAGGAACAATGCCCTAAAATATTGGTAGAGAGTTCCGGGACACCCTGTATATTAACCTAGTATTCGTCGGAAGAGATAGTAGATTTAATATAAGGTCGTTAAAATAACACAATACTATAATTTCAAAAGTAATGAACATTTATTTGTGATTGTAGTAACACAAGATAGAACATATAAACACACAACAGGCCACAATCTGTGGTGAACTGAGATCGGACCTTAGACTAGAACACAAACAATGTACATAAACATACATGTACGTACAACCTGTGTACGTACGTACCTAACTACGTTCACTAACTTACGTACAATATTAAAAGGCACGAGAGTGATGAAATATATAAACTGTTAGTTATACGTGATTTATAATAAAAAAATATTGTAAATTTCATATTACAAACTATTTTGTATAGACTACTGAAATTCTTAATATTAAGGGCTTTGTGCTTAGTATAAGATTAAAACAAAAAAGAACTATAAAATATAAGTGGAACGAATACAAAATAAAGTTAATATTCTAGAACAAATAGTTTACAAAATACTTTGTCTGAAATGTTAACACACAAGGAACCAAAACTCCAGATAACTCAATAGAGGAAATTATTATTGTAAAATATCTTTTTTGAGTCAAAATTAATTTAAATTTAGGTAATTGATTGGGATTTCCAGAACAGTAAAATGTCAAATGTACACTTTTATTAAAAGTATACGAGTGAGAGTTTACTGTATTAGAAGGTTTTTTTTTTGTTAATATTATTTTGTGGTATAGTACTACTAAACTGTAAGAAAGCAACGTTATGAAATGCTACATTCCTATAACATAGGCAAAAGGAGTATAACATAGATAACTGTAAAAAATAAATTTACAATTTGAACAAAAGAACAGCTAGAGAGATTAGGACGGAAAAAGGTGAATTTGAAAAAAGGTATAAACAGAAACATGAAATGAACAGATGTATCGTTGCATATTTTAGTTCACATGTACAAAAACTTTGATAATATTTTTGTAAAAATTACTCATCCCCACAATACGCGCTTTTCTCGAAATGTTGGTGTAAGTGTTCCACAAACTTTCAAATCATTTTCAAATACGAATTGCTTTCACTTAACCCAAATCATTTATCGTAACATGTGTAACAGATATCAAAATGTCAACATTCTAAATTCACCCTCTCTCTCTCTATTTAAGAAGCATGTTGTGGGGTGGCTTGTTGGTCTGAGTACAGAGGACACCGAGGCCGTTATCGCGTTGGGCGGACCTGACCGTTGACCCTACACAATCACTGATACACCAATTTCACTGACTGACTAATACACTACACCCCACCTCTCCTCTTCAATCTTCACCAGATATTATAAATTACCTCTGTTTGCACAAAGAGTTTTTTTTTTTTACCGTCAATTTATTCCAGAACACTAAAAATTCAGCTTCAAGCAAGACAAATAAAAAAAAGGTTTAAACTATACGATTTTTTTTCTCCTATATATTTTTTACTTCCCATATAAATTAATCTTTTCGCAACTCGAGTCTACGCACAGGCCCTGCCTATGTAGACTTTTTCCTTTCTTATAGAATGTATTTTCTTTACACTTTTATTTACTTATTTCTACAGTATATAATTTTTGTTTTGTTATCTAGTTAGTAATATTTTGCTGTTTCATATTTAAGAAAAGAAAAAATACAATGTACTTGTCTGTAAATAATTAATGGGAAATAAAATATTATTTCATTTCATTTCATTTCATTTCATAACTATGAATAACCATTTTGTTGGCTGAACAAAGCAGCTGAGGTTTGGTACTGACTCAACATTCTGAGTCATTGTCAAATCTCCATGTTGAGTCAGCGTCTGAGTCGACATGTGGTCTACCGAGAACTCGGGAACACCTGGGTCCTGGATAAGTGAGAGAGATGAAAACACCTTAGCTAAGGGGAGATTGCAGGTGGGCTGATGAAATTTGGCAACACTGCTTGCATTCGCAACAATCACTAGAACCACTGCAATCTCACTTCGGGTAAGGTGTATATTTATACAAATGTGAGGTACATATGATTTTTATATCTTAACTAAGACGAAATGATGTTAAAACCACAAAAAACAAAACAAAAGTTAAATACTTCTGAATTCATAGTTATATCTTTTCACTAACTACACCAATTTAAAATTTTCCAATCATAAAACCTACAAAGGAACAAATACATGGTTAAGAGTTAAAGTTACAATAATAGTGGAGTCTTTTAACAAATATATACAGACAGTAAAATATTCTTATAAGGTTAAGTATTATTTACATTTGCGTCAAAATAATACACAATTTGAATAAAATTGTGTATTATTTCAAGGCAGTAAAGCATATTTTTTATGAACACTTTCCTTACAACTAGAATTTATAACAAGAATAGTCTTATTTTTGTTATATTACAGTTTTTATCAGTAGTGATCACCCTGAGTTATCTTATTTTTATCTTAGCCAACACATGGTTTGTGTATAATAGTGATGATGTTATTCAAGGTTTACGAGGGTTGGAGGCTTCTGCAGAAGACTAGAGATTTTAGTCCAGTTTTGAGGGTTCCAGAAGATCTTTGAGACTCTGAAGGCTGATGGTGCGACTCTTGTTTTTGCCGAAGACGAAAGAGACGGATTTCCTTGCCCTCCAAAAATCTGAAACAGACCAGGAAAATATGAGCCTTTGAATGCAAGTTTGTACAATATGAGGAATAATTTGGAAATAACTTAAAAGTTAAGATTAAAACTTAACTCCCTAAAACAAAATATGCCTGCAGTAGAAAAAGAAAAAAAATGTATCCAAACTAGCCTACTGTACTTAAAAGACGTGTGCACAAGTCATACTCAATACAGATTTGGAGCAATTAAAATGCCATCTTAAAAATGCATTTATTTAGACTTTACTAATCATAGATAAAAATTGCACGGACTGCGCCAACAGATAAGGAACCAATTATAATAATCAATCGTCCAATCTTGGATCTCGTTATGACGAGATTCCTCATGGCCCATTGATCTGAACATGGCGGATGGGTGAATATAGAGTTAATTATTGCAGTTTTGATTGGTGTCTTGTTTTGTGACCTCGTTTCAGACGCCTGTGGAGAGCCCTTGGCTTATCGCGATATCCTAGGCGCGGTCACATACAGGGCTGGTTTGTCGCCGGCCCCCGCGGCGTTTAGTCGGGGCTCAATTAATTATGTCTTGCAAATTAAATTTACTAGCCTTGGATTGGAATTATAATTATTGATGTGAATATTGCATTTGGGAAAACATTATGTTCTTAGACGTTACACTACCATGAAGTAGGTATTCTACTCATATTTATTTCCAGTACTGTATATGGATTATGGGATTTGATGTTTACCATTTTTCTCTTATTTATTTTCCAGTTTAATAAATGTTAAAATATTAAATAGGCTAATCATTTTTTTACTAATGTGTGCATCCTGGGATTAATATGAACTTCTAATTGTAGACGAGACCTCTCTACTTCGACATCCAGGGATCAATTTTGACATATTTTTTCATTTCGAAAGGAACGGTCCAAAAGGGGACCACTTTCTACGAAGACCTGTTGTTAGAAAGTATCATGATGTCATAGTGACACGGAAATGAGGATCAGAAAGTGATTTTTTCAGGGGTTTTTTCGATTGATTAAGCAATGCTGACAAGGGCGCTAGCAACCACTCAAACCAAACTGCTACTTCGTTGGTTAGGATAATCTAAAGGTGAACATTGAACGCAAAATACAAATATGATAATCAAATGCGGTAATTGCTATAGTACAAGTAGTTTTGTTTTACAACCTTTCTCAACAAATCATTAATTTGACTTTATCATAACACAATTTTAATTTTTTACTACCGGTGCTCAATAAGCGATATCTAAAAATAACATGCATATAGTGCAAGGTCTCTGGTAGAAATGTTTGTGCGGAAAACGATAATGGAAATAAATATTTACCGCTTGTCTGGAAAGAATTGGCGCCAAAACAAGTGGTTGGTGTACTGACGAGACACGTGTGTGTGTACTACTATTATTATACCACATATATAACACTACTTAACTGCTGTTGATTAGATGTAGAGTTTGAATTACGAGGTAAACTGTTGAGCAAATACAAAATTAAGTACCAGGTGATCATTACAGTTTTCGAAACCAGCGATTCAGATGTTCTGTAATCATGTAATCGTTCGTAATCAATTACGTAACAAATTAAATCGTACCTTTCCCCTCTGAAGTGCGGTTTAACACAAACCAAACAATCTGTTAACAAATCGAGTCATTGACTTTGAAATTTTAATGTTGCTATCTGACATGTGGTAGACATTATGTATCATTACAAAAGTGAGTGGATCTGAATTACCAAGTTGTTTCGTCTCTGTGTAACGTGCATTTTAACGCAATTTTAGGCATTGTTAAACATATTTAAATGTATTTATTATTGTGTAATGTGTGTTTACATTTAGAGATCATTACGATTTGGTTCAAACGAAGCCAAGTGGGGGGAAATGTTAACTGGAATCATATTTTTATGCTACTATTTGGTATGTTTCATTTTTAAAATTAGTTAAAATGATTTAATGACCAGTTGCCATATCACCTCACTCGCGTTGCAAGCTTAGATAAATTACATAATAACCGGTCCAGACTATAGTAAAAACAGCCTAATCTCTGTAGTTCACCATGGTTAAGCTGGTTGTCTGCTTCAGCTGTTATCTCGTGTGTAGCCTTGACATTGTGATAACAACACTAGCTATAAGTCTGATATCAAGTAGAACATTCCATTCACTCTAAACCGTCTCGATTGTTCAGGTTACCATCCACTCTTGAATCACGATGTCAGAGAACTAAGTTAAAACAATTAGTTTGGCGGTTCAAAAATCAAATACATCGAGAGAAGTAATTTAAAATAATTTGTATTGAACCTAAGGATTAAAACCGTTGGCTTTTGGATGCTGAAGTGGCCATTCCATATGTAAATTGTATAGGACAAGCTATAGACATATTTTACAATTCAAATAAAACGTGGTTGAAATAGCCCTCATTACGTAGAGAGTGTGTAAAACCCTCTTCTTCGTTTATTTTACAACGAAAGTTAATGTTAATTTTTATTCTACATCTACGCACTGTATTTACAGTTTGCGAATGAAATGTGTCCTCGTATTCTAGTTACTTTACCAACAGTGAGTACTGTACAACCAATGTTCGTATTTCCACTATGTATTCGTTTTAACGTATGCAAACATTTACAACGTGTAACCTCGCCAATGCTAATCAGCACATTTACAACTGTGGCGCCAACGTACTACAGACTGGTGCTAATTGACAATGTAAACAGCCTTGCACACCACGTGGTCTCAAGGTTCACTTTTGGCGGGAGTTGCCCCTCCACTGTCGCGGCCTTGCATAACCATTTGGCGGTAAACATTCCTCACCATTGAGTCGCCTAACTGTTTTTTACCTCCAGAAATAGAACCGGCACTGGTTGGCGGGAGATTCAAGGCCGCGGGACTACGCGCTACTACGCTGGCCTACATACTACGAGTGACGAGTACGCGATATAGGACAACTGGATATCGCCATTGCATCAACTGGGAACACGTGGTTGGCGCGTGTGACGTCACCGGGAATACCTGGACTTCCTGGAAGAGCGGAAAGTTTCTACTGTATATCAACTGGCGGAGGAGAAGTTTGTGTTCAACCCCAGTTCGTATTCTTCTAAAATTTAATTTAACAGACGTCGAATTTATATGTTTTTAATAGGACCATTGACTTTACAAATAGACTTCTTATCTAGTAGTAAAATTTGGAAGTACGTTGTGATGAGTGTTTCAGGTTTGATGATGCTAAGTTTAACTAAATGTTTAAAGCTTGAAGTTTCAGGTTTGTGTAAACCTGAAATTTAATTTAGGGTTGTGTAAGTGATGTAAGTGTTCAGGTTTGATAATGCTAAGTTTAACTAAATGTTTAAAGCTTGAACAGTATTATGTGTGTGCTTCATTCTTTGATAATTACAAGAGAGAATCCTTTCAAATCTAAAACTATTTAAACACGCTGGGCTTTTTAAAACCATATTTCTCCTTTAAAAGTTAACCAACCTATAGTTGACATAAACACACTCGAGCGTTGCCCAAAATAAACTTCACATTGGACAAAAATGAGAAATGATGAGAAATCTACTTGCTGCATTCAACATCAATGGTACACCGGTACACAACAGTTTCGTATACAACACACCCCCTATGTACTAAAACACCGATATTTCATCCTATTATGGAACAGATGTCCAACACTGGGCTTATCCATTTGCTGCATTGTCGACTTAAATTGATTAGGTTAAAGGGACGAACGTTGGAGCACCCACCCCACCCCCTGGGAACGACCGTTAGCTGTCATACGAGGGGTGAGAGGTGAGAGGGGGGATCAGCTGTTCTAACGTACTTTCGGTTTCTGTATTAGGAATAACAAGTAACAGCCAACAGCCGGTAACTGACCTAGTTCATTGTTCTAGAAGTAGTGGATAGAGTTTTGCTAATGATCATGTAGCAAACTGAATTGAAATTATTTTGAAATTGTATAGCTCTTAAAAATTTTAAGAGCCTGATTATTTTAACAATAGGCCTACGTCAAAACTACTTCTCATGACTCATCAATGAACAGTGTCAGTATTGCAACGATGAAATTGAGTTAGCAAGGTTTGATTTTTCAAGTTATCATAAAATGACAATACATCTATATTTGCTAACAAAAGGTTAATGTGGTGATATCACAGGTAATAATCACGAAAAGGCGATAGATAAAAATCTGAATTTATTGTGTACCTACTTGATCCGCGACAGGCGATATGCAGACCCGGAATCGCGAGGCAGAGAAATGGCGGGAAGTGGGTGAAAGGCGGAGACGTTTGCGCGCGAACTCGAACTCCGCTTTCTCAAGGTTTGGTTGTGCAACAAGTATTGGGTCAAGCGGCAAGCGCGCAAGTGCGGCACGTCGTGGCGCAATGCACAATACCAACATACCCACAACACAACACACAACCCGTACATCATCGTGGGATAGGAGAGATTCCCACACCAACCAAGGCGAAGGCGTGTCTTGGGCACACACACACACACACACAGATACGGATATGACAAGCGATTGCGAGACAGCTGGTACAGCACTGGGATGAGATGAAGTTAGTGAATCGATTCTTCGTGACAAATGGTTGTGCAGTAAAAAATACATTTCTTGCATGTTTATATATTTCTGAATAAGTTCTTATGACGTTTTGGCTTTTAGGTTGACAAATAATTCAAAGACCCCACACAATACATAGTTACAGACTTGGTGATCCAAAGATTATTTGTAAAATTAAGTTAATTATGTGCCATACTACCACTCTAACTGTTAGGGGTTCATAATAAATTTATCATATTAGGTAGCATACATTATTTTACAAGTAAAATGTTTCTTGAATGCATGAATAATTTTAAAATTTAGAGTACCGTCCGATTACAAAGTGTCGGATTATCGAGTGCGAAACGTAATTTAGGATGCTATGGTAGTTATTGACCAACGTCATCATTGTTTAATCTTGCTTGCATACCAGTTATAAAAGAAATATCAAAGTTTATCGCTCATAAAACTGCAACAGCTATCGTTATAAACCATGTGACCCTGGACACTCTCCAGCTGTGTGAAAGTGACCGTGGGACTGTGAAGGGTAAAAGCTTAAAGGGCAGCTCTCGTAAAAGTTAGAGTGGCGAGTTGTGAGTGACGAGAGTAGGTCAACAACAATAAACGCAGGTCATCGTGCATGGACCAGGCTATGTTCCCAGGGTGCAGCAGGGGAGGCACCCTTCATGTACCTATGAGTCACCGTCACCAGATCCGGTAATGAACACAACGGTAACTGATACAGCTGCTGTGATGCTGGACCGTTGGCAATCAAATCTCAAGAAGACTCATCAACGTCAAACTACGGGGAATACCGGTTGGCATGCGAGACGAGTTCTTGTCTCAAGAATATCGCATTGCTTGTTGGAGATCATGGACGTTTTATGAATGCAAGTTCATAGGTGAAACTAGTTGGTGAGGGACAAGCTAATGGAAATGTAGTTGCGCACTCAAAATAAATCTATAGTTTCGTTCTCCTGTGTTGGTAACTAGGAGCTTGACGAGTGTGCAGAGGATGCCACATTTGGACAGAACGAAAACATCTTCGACGATCCACAAACACAAATAAATGCAGAAATGATTTCCACGCATTTGATGTGTATCATAGCATTATCTATCATAATTCACATTTTCAAATTTACACTCTTAAAAGAAGAAATGAGAGTTCTTGTCCTAATAAAATAGTCTTTATCGAGGAATTCGTAGCAAAACCGGTGATGTATGGCAGTCCTGACTGGACAATGTTGTTAGTTTTAGTTTATCTGACTTACAGGGGTTATTTTCTAACTTAGGGTAGAGCCTGAAAAGTCTATATTCAGGATAATTTATCAACCACGACAAAAGAAGACTCGGCATTTCCGGTCGTCTTTAAAAACACGACAACGTCGCCAACCTCAGCAGTTGTAGTAAGCTAAATGTCCGTCGTAGCACTTTGTCAACCTCTAAAGATAGCTGCGAAGAAAATGCGTGTTTAGATAACTGGGAGCGACCTGAACTTCGTTTTCCGTGTTTATCAGATTATCTGTTGGACTAGAAGCAGACAGTTTTAGTCTAGAGTTGTAGACAAAGCTGTCTGTCTAGGAGTGGCAGAGTGGCACGCGTAGACAGTCAGACATAAATCACGAACACTACTCGAGAAGCCACTTATCCCGGGCGCCTCGGCCACTCAAAAACTATTCACACCGGGCGGAAGAGTTGTAAATGAAATAGACCTTGAAATATTGGGACTCAGAAGTTGTGAGGTGGTGGCGGTGGCTTTTAATGTAGTACCTATGTTAAATAGGGGTAGAAATAGCCATCGTGATATAATTCCATTGAGTGACTAAAAGGGTTAAACAATTGAACGGATGTCAAATTAACAAAATAACTTGTATCCGTCAAAAGTTCAGTGTAGAGTTGCCATGCTTACAATCAAACTGCTCACTGATCAAAGCAAAGCCAGCAAAGGGATTGTGATTTTTTGTGAAACAAAGGGAAGATACTTATATAGTTTAACATTTCATTAGGGACTTGAGCCGTAACAAGTTAGTTAGGAAGTACTTTTCTAGTTTACTGAAATGATTAGTGGTTGGTTATTAATAGTACGTAACAGGTTTTAACCACGTTATAACCGGCACATTACTCAAATTCAATCCAAACCCAAGACATCACTGGTTTTGTTCACAAACACGGGGTTGTCACTATTAAGTTGTACAACAAAACAAGAAATATCATACGTGATCGAAAGTTGAACGATACACCTAAAAAAAAACCAATATCTATGATTACAGGAAAAACCCCCACAATATGACGCAATCTTCGGAGAAATGTCGGGCAGCTGCACCTCACCCTACGGTCGAGCGCGCGGGCGGCATCCACAGACCTGCGACCCAAAAATGGAGTCAAAATGGATCCGAGCCCACGCCACGCGGCCCACTGTCCGCGCATCACAAAAAGAGCTGAGATAATCAACTAACCCACACAACACTGGGCCAGCTACTGGAATTGGCCTCAAGGCCGCCGTCTGCAGTGTGCTGTGTGCATGTTGGAACCTGTCTCCTACGCTACGTCTCGCGCCTTCCTTGCGCTGTACCATACAGATGATAGGCCACTACAGAATTGCATTTTGTCGCCGAATGGCATTTCTTGCGCCGTTGTTAAAATACATTAGAAGTACACGGCTGCACACGAATTTTAAAACATAGGCTATCTATCTCGAGCAAAGGGTAAGAACAGAGGTAAAATCTCGGAGAACGAATTTTGACAGCGATGGCCATCAGAGACTGTCGAATATCAGAGATAATGGTTGAAACGTAACATTCTATTATACCTTGGTGGCTGATTGCGTTAGATGTGCGGAAGAGTGAAACTATAGAGGCCCGATGCCATTATTATGCAAGATAAATACAACTGGTATTTAGATAAAATAAAAGTCAAAGATCAAATCAATCTGATACTGCACGGACAAAAATAAATGTCTAAATTCCTGGATTTCCAACAGAAGCGATAAAGAGAGATAAAGAGACGATAAGATACGATAAGAGTCGACTTCTAATAAATTAATTCGTGCTCGTATTTTTTTCAAACAATATATTTTGCAATGCTTTTTAAATTCCATATTGGTTGTCTCTTCTTCGCCGACTAAAGTTAGTAAGTGATCAGAGTAAACGTTAAATTCTAAATATGTGATTAGAGTAATAACACTCTGATGGACTTTCCTTTTTGAAAATCTTTTTAATGGGATTTAAATTAACAAAATGCGCTATATTGCACTTCCTATTTGTAAAAAATACCATATTAATTCAATTAAACCCCCATAACAAATAATAATAATTAGTTTCCTGTATGGAAGCGTGTTTTATATCGTATCGACCCTCAATTCACCGCGTTCTTTCTGCGAATTTCCCAAGGAAAATAGCTATTATCGTAGGTCTCATGGTAAGACCTAGGCCCGGAACCGATATATTTTTTTCTTTTTGATGTCCCCAGACGCCAAAAACACTATTTGTTCAAAATTTTATATATAGCCTATAATATATCTATCAAAGTGTTTTTATACGGTTATTGGTTACGGAGAAAAAAAGTCCATTTAAAATTCCCGTGTTATTCTTATGGAGAATATTGTAAAATGTTGTAGTTAGCTTGGTAATGGATTTATTTTGATCAAACTTGGCGGAATTATTTATTTTACTGTATTCTAAGCTATTAATATTTTAATAAAAACATTCTTAAATAGTTTCCTGTAGCAGCAAACCTAGGTACGCGGATTTTGCCGACCACGTATAGCCTAATTAAAAATGTTTACAAAGGAAAAAGGTTGTTGTGTACTAGAATACGAAAACGTATACAGTAGGTGTATAGGCCTATACCTAATGAATTATTTAGTCATGCATAAATATTTCTTAAATTAGGTACCAAATTAACTTACCATAAATACTTTAGTTTTAAAACACTAAAATTTTGGAAAAAAAAACTGTAATCTTTGCAAGAAATTTAAGAACAAAGAAGTCTGTAAGTAACAAAATAGTAGGCTACACAAGAAGTATAGTAGAATTTTATAATTATACTCATGTTGCGTAAATATATAATTTCGCATCAACTTACAATTCCAATAGAACTGAACCTGAACCATATTTTTAAGTTCAAGATTAAAATGTTAAAATTTTCGAGAAGCTGTATGTATCTTGGTATATTTAGATAGAGTATAGTCAACATACCTGTAAGGTGGGTTTGTCTCTTGAGGTTCCCGGCGGCTCTCACTCTCTTCTGGAAGTTTGCGCAAGGTTTCCTGCAGATCGTGGACCTCTTGAAGGGTGCCTCGGGACACGACGTCTTCTCCTCAATCCCTGAAGGAGAAAGCCTGTCTTCAACGTCAGCAGGAACTTCAGGTATTCTTGATTCTTCAGGAATTAAAATTTCAGGCCTTTGCTTCTTTGCGGCCTTCTCTATCGCGGCTTCCAAGTCGTCTAGGTCGACTCCCCATCGCTTCTTCGCCCTCTCTCTCTCCTTCTGCAGGAACTCCTCGAAGAGACGTTTGTTCTCCGCGGGATCTGGACGTCCGAAGAGACACCTAGGGACAGGTATCGTCCCCGTGGAACGTCGTGTCGGACAGATCTTGTCAACGAGGTTCGTCGGAACGTTGGGTACGAGAAGACAGATCTGTCCACCGGCCATGACCATTACACTGAGATACGTTACACGTTACAACGTAAACTAACAGTCACAGGAACAGAAGAGATGTTCTCTGCACGAACACACGTTTCACTCTGAACTGACTGACGACGCCGGCGACGGTTACAGTTTGAAAGGATTGGAAAGTTTCGTCGCTCCCACCACACTCCTCCTTCCCCTCGCGCGCTGTCAGCCAATCAGCGTGTGCGTCACTAGCGTCGTCTGCTACACTGGCGTCTGATTGGCGGACACGCACAAACGGCGTCCTTCGCGCGGCCTTAGACGGTTACAAATAGTGTAAATAAACCAAGTACTTTTCTGGATGTTTTGGTTTGTTTTGGTGCGTACAAATCACTTATGTTCTTCATCAGAAACCTGTTTAGTGTTTTGTCTTACGTACATGAGCGACTCATGGTTTCTGAATTTTAATTTAAAATGGTATGTTGCTATAATTGTGAAAAATTTCATCAACGACCAATTAAAATTAAGAGACGCAATAAGCATACACAATTTTCTGTGGTAACAAACTATAACAAATGTTGCAAATTTCAACAACGCGCAAGCGTCTGCACTCGTGTCCATGGCTACTTCAACTCACGACTGTGCTATGCAGAGTTTCACCGTAGTTGCAGGCGCTAGAGAATATCCAGCAACCAGTCAGCCGCAAGGAACTGATCATTAAAATAAGTAATTTAATTTCTTGTTTTTTTCTTAATACATTCTGCTATAAACCTTAAAGTTTTGTAATTTGGTACAAAGGTAAAATATCTCTCGATCGTAAATTTTAAGCGTATTCATCTTTCACACTCATCTTCGCACTTTTTATACACTGCAGCGATGCCAAGCCAATTAGTATCAGAATACTCGTACAAATTAGTCCTACCTAATATCAGGCAGTGAGCTTGTAATACCAATACTCATAGTTCCTGAATGAAACAAAAAAACCTTTTAGGATACATACTAATATTCAGTTTACCTTTGACTATTATTTAGTTTTCCTTTGACTATTGACAGAACTTCAATATCAAAAAGTCAATCTTTTTCTTATAAAACATGTAAACGAAAAGTGTATCACACATACTGTAGTTAATATAATAAAAATAAAAGCCCTTCTCAGAAATGGGAATGGAGACCTGTGTCATTTTTTACATGCTAGATTAAACTACCAAATCTATCTATTATTTGTACATAACCGTTAATAAACTCGAGTCGTCCTGAGTACGTCCGGAACGCGTATTAAGTTGATTTAAAGGCATCTTTATTTTCTTGTTAATGTATACTGTTATTCACGTATAGCAATAACAGTTGTCTTACAAAAGACAAAGACAACCACTAGAGTACGCTTCTCTTGTGATCCACCATCGTAGACATTGCAAGTTTGACCAAAGCTTAATCACAAATAACATTTAAACAACTCTTTTAAGTGTCTTTAAAGTTATTACACTATCTTTATAAAAGACTATTTTAAAAATCAGCTAACTATAAAAATGAAACTCTGAAATATTACTCTGCCACAACAGCATCAGCGAATTTTGAGTATTTCTTTCTTTCAATAATTAGTTTTATCTTTGTTTAAGGAAATTATTCCTCTTTCCTCGGTTCAACACTGAAGATTTCCGAGATATATTTTTCATGAATACTTGTAAACCCTTAAAACTAATAAATCACACTGAATGAGATATATTTTTCATGAATACTTGTAAAATAAATCACACTGAAGGAAACGGCGTTTTAATCATCAAACAACTTGACAATGTTCAAACGCACCAATCGTATTCTGCAGACCGGAACCGAGTTCGATAGGCCTCTCGCCCACTATACGATTTCAGTCGTACGACACTGTGTCGTACGATATTCTTATCGTATGTGTGGTCCTCGCCCACTATACGACACTTTGTCGGATTAATGACCAGTTGCTCGGTAGCCATGGAGGAGTGAGTGTGTGTTGCGCAATATCTTAAGAATGTTTTTTTATTTAAACAAAGGATCCGTTACGTGTCGTTGCTATGTGGCTGCTATGGCGTAGAATTAAGTATCGTAGGATTAAGCGGAAGTATTGGATTCACCCTATGAATCAAAGTAGGGAACACACAGGATCATTTCAAACTCTTTTTGATGAACTTCGGCGTGATGATAACAAGTTTTTCAACTACTTCAGAATGTCTGCTGCGTACTTTGATGAATTACACCAGAAAATAAAAGCTTCAATTGCTTACCAAAATACTAAACTGAGGAACTGCATCACTTCTAAAGAAAGTCTAGCTATTACGTTGTGGTTAGTAAGATTATACAGGGTTATTACAAATGATGTTCCTGATTTTGATTATAAATATTACTGGGTTAATTTGTTTCAAAACTATTTTAGTTGGTACCATTGGAAAGAAAAACTCATAAAGTTTCATTTACATTGGTTTGGGTGCATGTCAGCTGTTTGTCAAGTCAATTGTTGTAAGTGTTGTGTAATGGCTGAATTTTAAGGCAGGAAAGCTTTTTGCCAGTTGGAATATTACATTAACCAATCTGTTATTAGTGTGCAACGACACTTTAGAACCAGGTTTAACGATTATCCTTCTAGTAACCTCTATATTGGCAAGTGACACTTGAAATTTAAGAGAAATTACTGCATTTGAATGTTACTTGTAGTAGGGCTGAACTTAACAATGTGCTGCCTGAGATATGGAACGAGCCCGGTGGTCCGAATAATGACACACCCCTGAACTGGCCTACAAGATCTCCGGACATCACCCCCTGATTTTTTTCTTGTGGGGATACATAAAAGATAAGGCGTTCACACCACCATTATCAGATAGCATACTTGAGATCCAGCAACGGATTACCAATGCTATCGAAACAATAGACCTAGACACACTTTTCAAAGTCTAGCAAGAGCTTGACTACATTATTGACATCTGTCGTACCACAAGGGGTTCCCGTATCGAGCATTTACAGTTCTGTGTATCTGTGTCGAAACTTTTTGAGTTTTTCCAAAGTTGTAACCATTTTATTTCTTTGTATAAAAAATAAAACTATATTTTATGTATGTATGAAATCATGAACATCATTTGTAATAACCCTGTATTATATATTTGATACGTTTTGTTGGAAGTGGTCTATGTGGGGCTACATCATTAAAAAAGTAATTATTTTTTTATGTTTAGATTATTTCTTAAGTTAATGTAAGGTTAATGTTAAGTTAATGTTCCTATTTAAAGATATTTTAAAGTTATACGAGTCCGTACCATTTAAAAAGTTTTTAACTGTACTGATGTTTGTTATTACTTTCATAGGTTTTGGGATAGTTTTGGTAAAAGGTTTGTATGTTCGAACATGTTTTGTATTGTTTTTAAATATTAATACTATTTGTTTAAATATTATTAAAATTTTAGACAAACTATTTAACACAATATAATTAATAACAATTGTTATAAAAAAATTAAGGAATAATTAAATAATTAAATTAATTAAATAGTTAAATAATTAAATTAAGTCGCATTGTTTTATTATTTTTTTTTATATTTACTTATAAGTAATACAGTACATTAAAATAGTATAAAGAAAAATATGAACGAACTGTCAGGAATACAGACAAGATCAACATCACGCAAAATGTTGGCTAAAAAAGACAAAAACTAAGCGATATAGCCTATCAAACATTATAATAAACAAGTATGAATTAATTGTAAAAAATATACGCACGATCAAAATTATGCAAAAAACTATTTCAAAAGACGAAAACACTATTTTAAATGCCAAACTTAAATTAGCGAAAGTCATGCGAAGTGAACAGCGAGAAGGCTCAGCGCGAACTAACTTGGGGAGAACGCACGACATACGATAAAAATCGTATAGTGGGCGAGCGCCCATTTGAACATACACGCCACTGCGAGTTAGACAGCCGTACGACAGTCGTGTATCACAGTGGCAGTGGACGACTGTTTCACGACAGTTTATCGTAGTCGTGAGATTATCGTACAGTGGGCGAGCTCTCATAAGATCCAATGTTTCACTGTTGAAATGTTGTCGTTCCGACACAGTGTCGTACGACCGAAATCGTATAGTGGGCGAGGGGCCTTAGGCCATTGTTGACGCCGGAAGTAACTCCAATCTCACCACGCTCCGAGTCGCTCCGTTTCGCTCCGTTCAAGACGTTTAGCTTGAAGGAGGGGAACGTTCCGAGACGTTGGTGTGGAAAAGTAGTTCCCAGGGCTGGTGTAGCGAAGGTAACGACCTGCGACATCGCTGTTATCGTAGTGACGTCTTTGAGGTGATCAGGTTATGACATAATTGACAGGCGTGTCTAGCTGCTTGTTGTAATTGGGTTGTGACTGTTCTCAAGGAAGTAGAAGGGGGTGGCAATAATGAGTTCATAAGTTATTGCCTCAAGGAGTTTGTGAACCGTAGCAATGTCTTGATTACGACATTTGTAAAGGGTTTGCTATAGCTAAGGATTGGCTATAGATTCACCACCGTGAACAGATATTATTCCCTTGTCAAAGTTGTAGTAGTTTACATTAATAAATAATCTTTGAGCCACCGATAGTATTTTGTTAAACATACTTTTTAATAGTAAATTATAACATTTTGTAACAATTTTAACAATATAACTTAATATAAATTAATATCAGTTAATAACAGCATTGACTTTATATCTACACGTAGATATAAAGTAGATATAAAGGGTAGATATAAAGTCAATGATAACAGCCCCAAAGTCCTTATCAATTCATATAGTATTTGAAGAGGAAATAGGATGAGATCACCCTCTATCCTCTATGTGAGGATAATTCCTCTATGTTATCTTTAGGAAAACTGGTCACCTCTCGTCCACATAGTTAGGATTTCTAACGTCTAGCTCTGTGTCCAAAGTATCTTTCTGATCAATTATCAATTGAGATGTGATCGCCTTCCAACAAGATGTTAAATATTACCTCACAAAACCAAAAACATCTCGAAAGGAGAAAAGGCTACTTACATGTTACACGGAAATACCCTCTAAATAGCTCCTTCATGTTCTGAACCACATTCTGATGTTCTGAACCAGATTGATACCAACTCTGCAATTAAAGAATTTGCCAACATCAAAACTAGGAAAATTAATTTTTAACTGCTAAGAGT